GGGAAAACAGACAATTTTATATTAACCAAACTCAGTACGTTTGGTTATAATGAATTAGTTTTTCAGATTGAATCTATTCTACTTAGATACGAAGTGTATGTATTTATGACATGGTCATTTTGCAAAAAACAAACTATTGTATTGTGTCCCCCTCTCAGGGAAAGTGTTGCTTATAAAACACAGTGGACTGAAAGCTTAGCCCTAGTTGTCTTATTGATTAGCTATTAATGCATACCATGTATGTGTAACAGTGTGTACAATCTATATATCAGTCGGATATGCACAGAAAATCACATTAATCACATTTCAGGAAGATAATCCCATCAGTGTACTTAAATTTATTGATAAGTTCTGTGCTGTGAAGTTATTCACTGGAGGTGTACAGTATATACTGTAAAATGACTAATTTTCACTGGGTTTAAATTTCAGTGATTTAGCATTTCAGGCATATTCAGTGGGTTTTAAATTCATGGTTTTATCATTTAGATAATGTGTTCTATGCTCAAGTTACATATATACTGGGTTTTAATTTAGCGCATTTTCCAGTCAGCGAAATAAGCAAAATTGAAACCCAGTGAATAATTAATCCTTTTACAGTAGTCTGGACAGAACTGAACTTTCACTCTAGCTATCAGCTGACTTTGCCATCACAACTTATTTATTATTTAAAGCCAGTATCATACATAATTTGAACTTTGTAGTATTTATTTATATTGAGACGTATTTCGGCAGATTACGCTGCATAATTTAAATATGTGATCATCTTGCATATAAGATAAGCTAGCTTTAAGTCAGATTGAAACTGGCTTAATATTAGGTTATGTCTTAGCAGTACAGTATTTTCCCTGTCTCTATTGAATCTCCATTATATATGTGAACATGAAAAACTGACAGCCATCAGAGAAGCTGAAAAAACATATACAGGATACTTTAAAGAATAATTAAATGATTTTTTGTTTCCATGGTGACTAAATTCTGCTAGTTTTATAAGTTGACCATTTTAAAAAACAAAAAACTATTATGAACATGTTGATAATAAGGAACACATTTTAAAAAGTAAATGAATTATTGTTGATGCTGTTTGGTATTCAGTCCCTCTCGGATGTAGACTTGTTTATTATTCTTGTGTGCATGGGTGAGAAACACTTCCCTACAGACTGGATTATACTGATCAGACCTTGACAGCAGTAACCTTCATGTATGTTTCTTGCCCTCAATGGTTGTCCTTAGCTTTGGAGACCAAAATGATCAATGATCTGTTTCAACAACAAGGTGTTGATTTCAATTTAATTTGCCCTCCCAGACTGTTACTGAGGTATAATCCATTGTATTGGGTCATTAACCCAATCTAAGTTTATAATTAATTATCTTCTATTATTAAACTTATTAGTATTAGTAAAAAATTTAACACATTACATTTTACTTTTATACTTAACATTATAATATTTTCTCTTTCTTTATTATTTCATTATTATTATACTTTTATTGCTACTGTACTGATAGAAATACCGTATTTCTAAAGATGCAATAAATATTATTATTATTTCTACAAATAGGTAATTAGTATCTTATTTTCACTTTACTAGTCCCAAGTATAGATAAGTTTTAGTGACGCCATTTTGAATTGCGCATATATAATCTGTCAGTGTAGGTAGATCTTTTGTGTTGGAGAAAGTAAATAGTCCAGGTCAGGGTCACTGGACTTTTTCTTCGCTAAAGATTATAACAAGTGTTCAATCTTTTACATGAATTTCAATAAATATAATGGAGACTAATAACTTGTAGTGTAAGACTTTCCAGTGTTCGTACATGCGCCTTATGGCATATGTTGTGTGTTTACATGTACGAGATACCTTCTGTGCGAGTAGCCACATGTACCCTTCAAATATTTAGAAATGTCATGTGAAATGTACAGCGTCTGACTAATTTGAAAAGTGAAATTCTGGTCAATATTTATTTTGGTGATTTTGAAAGGATTCTAGATTGGTCAGTAACACTTACTGTCTCCCTAGATTGGGCATTTTTAACAATGGTGTGGAACAAGGGTATATTGTGTTTTGTTTTGTTCCCTGTGGTTAGTATTGTACAGTAATGGAACTGGAGTGGAATTACAATAGATTGAAATAACAACACGTCCCTCGTCATGGAACTTTTCATTTAATAAGTTGCTGCATTGTCAAAACTTCACAGACGTCACATTAATTATACAGTACATGTTTTGATTCGTTTTACGACAAACGACATGTAATTTTCCAGGGTTTTTTATTTGTTAGTACTATAGATTGAAAAACAACAAATAAACAATTACATCACAAACATTAGAATCCATTCTTGTAAAAAGAAAAAGCATGCACATGTTTGGGAATTTTCCGAGAACAATCAAATAACCATGTGGGTGACATCTCCAAGTTACATCAATCTCTGTGGGTGTACACCCATGGGATTATTATGACTCATACGTCTAATAGCACAAAAAACAGTCTTATGATACTGAAATAATAGTCTGTAGAGAAATTTCCAATAAACAAGCAATTACCGTATTTCGATGGTTAGCTTATTGTAATTTATTATAAAGTATTGTGAGGTGAGAAAATGTTGAATATTTGTTATTTAGTCTGCAAACAGAAATGTCAAATTTGCTTTACAGTTATAGACCTAAATTAATCTCTTGTTTATTATTACTGTAAAATACTTTTTTTTTTCCCTTGGAATTAATTTTCGCTGAAGGAATGATTCAGTGAAAATAAAATCCAGCGAATATACCTTTTTTCCTATATTTTACATTCAACTTGAAAAATCCGAGAAAATAAATTCCATACAAAACACCCAAAATTTCTTTCCAGCGATAATTAATCCCAGCATAAATAAAGTATTCTACAGTATATGAATTTGGAGACAGGCAGATTAGGCTTAACACAATCTCCGATTAGGGATTATCAATTCACATTACCCACACTTTTGCAACCAAAAGGTAGACATGCAAATAAAGCACTTAGTTTAAACTATTCCAGTCTGTATCATCAGGTCATGACCTCTTGTGTATTTTCTCTCAGGAGAGATTACATCATTGCTTGCATGGCAAATGATGTACCGTAAAATCTGTATTAGAAGCCGCATCCCTAATAGAAGTCGCACCCATTCTTTTTGAATAATTGAGAATCTAAAATTCACCATTTCTCATATGTGTATATGCTCTAATAGAAGCCGCATCCCCTCTGTTGCATTGTACCATTTTAATAGAAGCCGCGGCTTCTAATACAGATTTTACAGTATTATTTCAAGCCTGTCATGTTGTACATGTGTATAGCATGATGATGCAATTAAAACTGATGTCACGGGAGTACTGATAAACTTGTTTGTATGCAATTTACATGTCTATACTCAGACATGTGTGTGTGACTTGAATATATAATGAGTTTGTTAACGAGCAGGTCATTGTAACTATTTTGGGATATCATGGTGATCTATCGTAAAATTGTAACCATATGTCCTCGAACATAAACATGAAAAAACATGTATGGAGTTTTTTTGCCGAATTTTGATGAGTTGAATGTTAAGCGAGGGGGTCGTCACGTGCACACGCACTGGAATTTAGTCCCAAGCGACCATAACAACACACGTTAAAAATGCAAAGGCTCATGGGTAGACGCTTGTTTGTAAACAATGACACGCTTTAGCCATCTGACGCACGTGTAGTTGACGACTGTCCCGCTTTAAATACAAGAAAAAAGGCATATTATCCGGCTTTTATTTTTACTGAATCATCACGAAAATAGTGAAAAATGAAATCAGGACCATTAAAAAGTATTACTGTAAAATCTGCATTAGAAACCGTGGCTTCTATTAAAATGATACAATGCAACAGAGGGGATGTGGCTTCTATTAGAGCATGTACACATGTGAGAAATGATGAATTTTTGGTTCTTAATTATTCAAAAAGAATGGGTGCGACTTCTCTCAAAGATGCGGCTTCTAATACAGATTTAACGGTATTTATAATGACCATTGTTACACTACTATCATTCACATAAACACGTGTTGCTAATAGAGGAAATACTGTCGTCCTGTTGTATGTAACTTTAATTCTAGTTTAATTATTTTCCAATTAGGCTAGTAAGAGATACACTTCAGTCGTGGTTGGTCTACCATGGAAATATTTTCTAGTTTATGTCTAAACTTTTTTCCTGCTATGACACCCTCACTTTAAGTAACATTATAGGCAGTCAAAAATGACTTGAATGCACAGGGCTTGGCAGTGTGCCTAGATAAATTAACTATGGGTATTGCTTTCTGGCGGTACAAGCTGTCTTCAACTGCCAAAACACTTCTGTCATATGAATATATTGATTAAAGTGTATCTCTTGGATACAGTTACCATGACACTCCCATGTAACTGTGGTATAAATACATTTTTCGCAGATGTTAAATTTTGTGCTTCAGTAGCTTAGGTCGGTCTTAACATAGTATTACTCTGAACAGAGATCTGTATGTATGAGTGAATTTTGAGTTTTGAAACTAATTATTTGTGTTACTTTCAGACCAAAAATGTCAAAAAAAAATTTGTTCATTGCGAAGGAGGAGATAAAATTGACTTTGGCTTTAATAGGTTTAACCGTTTTAATCCAAAGACAACTTTATTTTATTATCTTTCACAAAATAAATCCACATAATTTTTCACCACCAGTTCCCTCTTACCCCCGGTAGTGCCATTTATAGTCTGCACCTTCCTTCAGAAGATTGGAACAAAAATAGCCAAATTTTTTAAGTAAAAACTGAAAATTAACTTTAATTTTGTCCGATGGCTTCAAAACTCAGATTCATTTTCACAAATATTGAGAAATTGTTGCACCAATAATTGTTTAGGAAATGATTGCATTCAAAATGTTAATGAAAGGCATGAGATGATAGCCAATCGTGAGAGACTATAATACATCAAGGTAATAATACATTAGACTGAGTCACCATAGACTAATATATTTAATTGTTTTTTTGTCTTGCAGGCTTTAATTTACCATGATGGCAACCTGTTCTCGGGTTCAATAGAAGCTCTCATACAGCACATAGTGCCAACAGCAGACTACTACCCTGATGTAAGTCATAGTTATCTTTGCATGTGATTGGTGCAAAAAATCTACTTCATTTGCGTATATGAATAATTCATGTAATGGAAATTATTGATTTCTAGTGTAAAAATATTTCAAATACAGTTTGAAATACTTTTCTATAAGTTGTGTGTCTTTAAAAAACACAGTAGCCAGCTGAACAAGCCAAGTAGACAGCTATTTAGCCGGCAATCATCTCATGAAGAAACCCTAAAAAATATTATATACAGTTCAGTCATCACCCCCCAATGTCTTTGATGTTGCATCTCAAATTAGAGCCCACAATGCACTTTGATACTTTTAACAAATTCAGTTGGTCTTCAAATGTAATTTTGTTTTATTATTTTGATTTGATTATTAATGTTTGTTCTTATCTTCTTTTTTCAGAGGACATATATATTTGCATTCTTGCTTTGTAGTCGATTATTTATGAAACCATATGAATTATTACAAGAAGTATGTGAGGTAAGAATAGCTAATTGTAATATCTACATTAAAGTAAGGATCTTTTTTATCAAGTGAGATGCAAATGCAATTGAATTATCTAGTTTAATCTAATTTTTATTCTTGTATTCTCGTTTATTTTCAGTTATCAATTTTACAACAGAACCTTCTCAATAGACATATAGATAGAGCTCAGTTCAGTAGATTTGGACCAAACCTCGTACTGTTATTAAGGTAAACTGGCATTTTATATTGATTACATTAACATTCCTGACACAATAAGAAAGTTTTGCAAGTCTAGGAGAGAAAACAAAATATTTCCTAAAATACCTTGCATTTCACACATTAAATGAATCTAAAACACATGTAATGTAACCACCCACCCCACATACGTGATTGCCCCCTCCCCCTGATGCCCAAATGAAAAAAAGGGTAGCTACTGCTCTTATCCCTGTTTATGTGTTGCCCCCCCCCCCCAATGTTACAACATATAAATAACTATGATTTCTGGAGGCATATATGTCATTTACATGTATGTTTGAATAGAAAAAGGTTTTTAGGTTTCATCAAGTCAGATCAAGACAAAATTAGTAGTAATTGTTCACACTATTTTTAGCTCCGCTGTCGACTTTGTCGAGCGGAGCTTATCATATGAGTGATTGTCCGTCGTCGTCGTCCGTCGTCGTCGTCCGTCGTCCGTGTCAATGTTTTACTTTTTCGACTTCTTCTTGAAAACTACAAGCCTGAATGCTTTGATACTTGGTGTATATGTACCTTGGGTAGACCTCTCTCAGATTTGTTCATTTCATGATGATATCTTCAATTCTCTAATTTTGGTGAATATTTTTGTCATTTTTAGTAAAAAGTGATATTTTCGACTTCTTGTTGAAAACCGCAAGTACAATTGCTTTGATATTACATATATAGGTACTACATTTGGACCTCTCTCAGATTTGTTCATTTTGTAATGATATCTTTAATTCTCTAATTTTGGTGAATATTTTTGTCATTTTTGGTAAAAAGTGATATTTTCGACTTCTTGTTGAAAACCGCAAGTCCAATTGCTTTGATATTTACATATATAGGTACTACATGTCGACCTCTCTCAGATTTGTTCATTTTGTAATGATATCTTCAATTCTCTAATTTTGGTGAATATTTTTGTAATTTTTGGTAAAAAGT